TTTTAAATAACATGCCCCCGTCAGTGTTAGTGGTGCTGATAAGAGCAGACACCGCTAACACCTGGGGGGGAGCTCCATCTATTGGTGGGGAGCAGCACCTGCTGGAAAACGGGTCCAGCGTCCCTTACATGAGCAGAATTCGAACCATATCAAAAAAACAGAGATGTGGAATATTCCGTAGCACATTCACATCATTGCTGGGACGATCACTAGCCATCAACACATCTATTTTTTCAATGATGTGGTATATAGCGTCAATCTGGACAGTTTTGGACCATACAATTGAGGAACTTAATTGCAATGCAAAAGCGTACTTGTGGTCGGGAGACCCCAACAAAGAGAACTGTATACCAAAGACAGCCTGGCATTAGATCACAAGGAAACCAGCCAGAGGAGGTCTTGGTATCATAGACCCCAAACAGGAAACCAAAGCCTAACAAGGTAAATGGATAGTCAAACTACTGACTAAACCTGGTACGGCATGGAATAAACTGGCCTTGGATAGCATCAGGGGCCTAGCACCGACAACCTCACCAGCAAACATGTACGGTCTGTTATGGGTAATGACCAAGGAACGGAGCCCAAGTAGTACAGGGCGCAAAAATCATAGACGAGGAATCGGTCCAAACGAAGCCAGGCGGCCCACACCATATTGGACTGCATTGCTACGGATATGGCAGGAGGTCATGCCGAAGTAGGTGGGTAGACCCAAATCCAAAGACGAGATATTGAGGTAACCCCTGTTTGGTAATCTGTGGGCGAGAGACGAAAGTGATCACCAACTATCCCTTAAGCCTAGAGGAAGGAGATGGCTATCGTGGATCAAACATGGAGTTTGGAAAGTCAGCTATCTGTGGAATGAGGAGAAAAAGGACTGAGTGACAGAACAAGAACTTGCTTCCCAGCTCAAAGGATGTCACTGATGAGACAAAAATCTAAAATCCATTATTAACTGCATCCCAGAAGGCTGGAAGGAGTTGTTGAGCGAAGCCTCAACCTGGAAATCGGGTGAATGGGGTGTGAGGGTGCAGGATTTCACCTCCTCAAGGGCCTATCAATTTCCCCATAAACAGCAAGGGTCGGATACCCTGGCCGTGTTTACCTCTTTCCCAATTACCCCCTTCATGCAAGGCCTCCCATCTGTCCTGAATAAGGAGGTGGAAAAAACAGTCCTAAACCCTTTTGTTCTCAGAAAAGTAAGAGTGCTGGGATCTTGGCCAAAAACAACCTTCAGAATAGATACAGTGAGCGATTCAAGACTTGGAATTTGATCCAGCAGAGTGGGCTTGGACACCAGACAGAAGCAGAACTCTCAAAACGAATGTCCCCATCCAAGAATACACAGTCAAACTGGGATAAACTTACTCCTCAAAACAAAGGCTCCTGACCCAACGATCAAGAACAAATGGCAGAAGTTAATAGGTCAGGACGGTAGTCAGATCCCTGAAACGGTTTCACCCAGTTGACACGACATTTGCAGACACTGAGACTCGATTCCTAGACCTATGCCTGAACCCTGTACATTGACCCTGTGTGCTGAGTGAGATTCGATCCCTAGACCTATGCCTGTGCCCTGTACATCTACCCGGTGACTGTGTGAGACTCGAACCCTCGACCTGTCCTGTGTCATAGGTTAGGCCGTAGGTAGGGAAGTTGGACTTGATCCCTAGGTCTGTAGGTTAGTAGTCGAGTCTGTTACCCATTGTCCGAGGAAGGTCTGTTCTAGAAGTCTCTACTTGAGTCTACTGAGGGCCTAGAGTCAGTCGGTAGGTCTGTAGGCCCTAAAAGGCAGTAGGTCCCTGTAGGCCAGTCCAGTCCGCAAGTATCAGGGAAGGGCTGTACGTGGGGGAAGGTCCTGGTCACCCGGTATACAGAAGGTTCTGGAATACGCGTCCTGCGTCCCAGCAGCCACGTGTTTTGGGCCAGAAAGGCCCACACAGTTCGGAAACTTCCAGACCCAGGGCCCACGCGTTTTGGCCCAGGCCCACGGCCACCTCTGAAGAAATATAAATAAAGACGCAGCGTCCAGCCATTCATTCATTCGCCTGTGAGCCATGCGGCACCGCTGCCTTACTTGTCCACTGGAGGCACTATCTGTTAGGGAGGTTCTTCTACTTGAGAATTGACCATCAGACCCTCAAGTTGATCAAGACCCAACCAGTTCTCTCCGATGCACTCAAACGCTGGATTGAAGTCATAGATCAGTATGACTTCAAACTAGACTATGTGAAGCGAGAGTACAACAAGGTTGCAGATGAGTTGTCTAGAAGGGCAGATTACCTGGGTGCGCTCATTTCCGAGTTTGGCTTATCTGAGGACGTGACTCGATCTTTGGGGGGAAGCCTACAAGGAGGATCCCATCACGATGGACATCATCAACAAACTGCAGGCCAAAGACAAGGCCACCACTGACGAGTTTGTGATGGTGGGTGGGTCACCCTTTCTTGAAAAGGCAGGGTTTAAGAGGTTAGTTGTTCCATCTAGGGAGATTTTGCGTAGTTTATTTTTAGGTGAGTGCCACGATGCAACGGGACATTTCAGCTACAAGAAGACTAGTGCTAATTTAGTACAGCGATTTTGGTGGCCTAACATGCTGGACGATGTAAAGAACTACGTACAGACCTGTCAGGTCTGTCAGCAAGATAAGCTGCGGACTCGAGCTCCGCTTGGGTTACTCAAGCCTCTACCCATTCCTGCTGGCCCAGGGCAGAGTATCTCCATGGACTTCATGGATACTCTCGTGGTCAGCAAGAATGGGAAGAGGCACATCTTTGTCATAGTGGATAGGTTTACCAAATATGCTAGACTAATTGCCATGCCGGAGACTGCCAGGGCTGAGCACGTCATTAAGTTGTTCATGGACAACTGGGTGCGTGACTTTGGACTGCCAAAGACCATTGTTAGTGATAGAGATGTCGGTTTACCAGTGAGATGTGGAAGAAGGCCGCTGAACAGATGGGAAGCCAGCTTCAGATGACTTCTGGAAATCATCTCGAAGCTAATGGGCAGGCTGAACAGATGAACCGAGTGGTGCAGCATCTGCTGAGGCATTACATCAAGCTAGGATGACTGGGATGAGAAACCACCTCTCATCGCCAGTCTGTACAACAATGCTGTACATAGCACCACCAGCGTCAGTCCAAATCAGCTGCATATGGGATGGAAACCTAGATCTGCTATAGACTTCCTTCTGCCTGAAAACCGACCTGCTGCAACTCCTGGAACCATTGAATTTGGTGTCCAGTACGAAAAATTGTTGCAGCAGACTGTTGAACACATCAAGAAATCTCAGGAAGCCATGATTGCTTCTGAGAACAAGCATCGCCAACAGTCCACATTTCAGGTAGGGGAACGTGTCTGGGTCAAGGCTAGTGAGTTGGGACATGAGTTTGGCATCTCTAGGAAACTAATGCCTCAGTATTTCGGTCCCTGGGAAGTCTTAGACATTGTGGGTAATGATTTGGATAATCCCTCGTACGCCATTCGTATCCCTGGTCACCGACGCACGTACCTTGTTCTTCATGCCTCCAAGCTTGCACCTTTCGCCCCATCACGGAGATCTATGCTGCCCCCAACCATGGATGGCCATGTGGACGTCGACGATATCCTGGATTACAGAGACACGCCTGTTCCTAAGCCACCTGGCAGGGGAAGACCTCCTAAACCTGCAAGGGAGTACATAGTACATTTCAGGCATCATATTGATCCTAAGGACGATCGATGGATTTCAAGGGAGGAACTTGTCAAGACAGCACATTTCAGGCATCATATTGATCCTAAGGACGATCGATGGATTTCAAGGGAGGAACTCGTCAAGACAGCTCCTCAGATCGTGGCAGAATATGAGAAGAAGCTGAAGGGGAAGGCACCAGCATGAAGAATCTCAACGGACTTTCGAAGCTAAGGGGGATGGAATGCGAGGAACAAGCCCTCACAGGGCCCTAACAGACATCACATGTTCTGGGCAAAGGCCCCCAGCAAGCCAAGTGCCCGCCCTAAGTGAAGGCGGGCCTGAATATTCGTCAAAGGCCAAAATACGACATTTTCATATGTGGGTATTCAGGCTCTTGCAGCACGCCAGTTGGTTGAATGGACGCGTGAGCCTCACTAAGTTGCGTCGTACAGTTGGCCCAGGCCTTGACAGTTGCACCTGGGCACATACACACAAAGCAGGGCCGATACATTGAGAAGCAGGCCATCGGCCTTAGCAAAAGCAGTACTGTCGATGCACCTACCTGGGAGCCCTGCACAGATGCAGCAAACAGCCCAAGTCCGAAGACTCAGGTCGTGCCCAACTGTAAATGGGGCCCAGGCCCTCAACTGTAGTCTCGGGCCTGGGCTCAGGGACTGAGGCCCAACCGGAAGCTACTGGAAGCTTCCAGCCAGGCCACATGCAGCATCCAAGTGGCTGCCACTTCCATAAAAGAAGTGAGGCAGCCCAGGCCAGGGATTCTGGCCTGCGTAGGCATTGCGGAAGTGCTGCTGCGCTACTGCTTGATGCTGCGCTGCGGCCAAGGGCGCTGACGGGGCGCATAGAGTGAAGTGGGGCGCTGCGGGGCAGCGGGGCGCAGGCAGCCATAGCCGGGCTGCTGGGCGCCAGGGGGGTAAGAGGGCGATCTGGTGGTCTTCAGGGAAGGAGGCGAGTGTGGGTTCTCAAGGTCTGATGAGGGTGACGAGATACATACCTGGTGCATGACGAGAGGTCGGCTATGGTGTTGACATCATGTGCATTGGTCTTCTAGAGTCGAAGTGAGCCTGTTGCGTGAACACAGCTGTAGGTAGGATAGCAGAGTAGAGTAGGCTGGGGCACTGGGCGCCAGACAGAGAGGAGCGACTTTGGATACTGTGTTGGTGTGGCATACGGGCTTGAACATTGGCTCATTACTTTATTGTATTGCTCTATTTGGATGGATTCTCGGTGCTGTTGTGCTCTCTGCTTGTACACGACTACTCAGACATCTGTGTGATTTCGCAACTTGGTTTTCTGTATATCGTTCACACTCATATTCCTTGCAATTTGATATCGGAGCTGGTTCACACTCATATTCCTTGCAATTTGGTATCCGTTCAATACAATCCTACCTAATCTCAACCAGCCCAACCCAATCCAAAATCTCATCCAATATAAATGATATAATCCAGTATGATCCTAAATCCTAATTCTATCTAATCCTAATCCAAATCCTACCTAATTGTATCTAATCCTATGTAATCCTTTCTAATCCTATTTCATACCACACCAAACCACACCAAACCACACCACACCACACAACACACCACATCACATCACATCACATCACATCACATCACATCATCTGGATCTCATCTCACCATTTTATCATCTCATCAGACTCATCCTATAATCTTATTTCATTACCTCATTCATTATCTCATCTAATTTTCTCATCGCACAAGGGTATTTACTAAGTAGTAGTTCGTAAACTTAGGAAAATGTCCAAACATTTATGCGATGCACTTGCTCTTGGCATTTCAAATCTAAATAGTAAAAACTAAACAGAAGGTTGAATAACATGGATATATCTGCTTCCTGGGCTACCAGCCGAGCCACCCGGGTCAGCTTGTTTTACCGGGCGGCCC